CGAAATACATGAACTCAACTTTAAAGTTTGACACTGCTGTAGTTTTCTACGAAAATTTTTTAAAATCTAAAGGAGCTCAGCCCCCCGTCAGCCTCTTTTGGGGCCCTCACTATTTGGAGATAATCCTTAAATCTGTCAAAATTTCTGAAAAAAATTCTTNAATTCGAAAAGAAGTTGTGTTTGAAAGTTGTCCTTCTTGGACCAATCGATTGTATCGCATGTCAAAAAATAATGGAAACTAATTAAAATAATAAAAATATTCACTCTTGTAGAGAATTTGATGAGAAATCTTTCTATAAAAAAATAATTTTTTCTAACTTGAATTATAGGTGAGAAAAATGCAAAATACTGGGAGGATCATTCTTTATGGGCCACTCGTTAGAGTGTGCCTCTTTCATTTCGTAAATATGTGTAAATCGATACTTTGCTAAGAGTCTAGTGTTATTCTAGGCATATAAAACGTGACATAATTTGAAATTATCTTAAAATCATTATTTATAAATGTTCATTTCCTTTATCTCTATTTACACTTATGTTAATTATTATATAATTGTTTGTTTTCTGTCATTGTACCAGATATTGCCTCTTGTATTTTCTTTGTTTCGCTTTTTGATGTAATCATCTATAATCTTTCTAATTCTATTGGTATTTCTTCAAAATATCTAATTTATGCTGGAAATAAACTTATATACAAAATAATATATTAAAAATATAGCATCCGCAAGCGAGTCTGCCTCGACGAGCGTTACTTGTTTTTTCCGCACCACATTCATTTTAGGGTATGAAACACTAAAAACAAGCTATACGGTAGTCTTTTGCATCGTTTTCTGCATGTTTTGTTGAAAATTTTCTCAAATTTGACTTTCGAAATCAAAAGAACCTCAGAAAATCTTTTGAAACTTTCTAAACTGAATATTTGTATGTCCAAATATTGAACATTGGTTTATTTTCTCCTTACAAACAGCAAGAATAATGGTAGTACGCGTGACATCATTCTCACTATACGTAAGCTATCTGAGCGGCCCATGCGAGTTTTTTCAGAATTTTTTCATTCACACATGCATCCAACTTTGATCGCACTGGTTCCAAGTAGAACTCGATGTAATCTCACGATTCCAATGATAAAACGTCCGAAAATCATAGCATTTCCCTTGACAAATCAGTGAAGAAACATGGGAATTTTGAAAAGCCTTAAGCCGATTCGTTTTCGTACTATTTAGTGCGGTTCTTACATCAGTTGCAAGGATACTCGAAATACATGAACTCAACTTTAAAGTTTGACACTGCTGTAGTTTTCTACGAAAATTTTTTAAAATCTAAAGGAGCTCAGCCCCCGTCAGCCTCTTTTGGGGCCCTCACTATTTGGAGATAATCCTTAAATCTGTCAAAATTTCTGAAAAAAATTCTTAAAGATGCGTGAAATATTTTAAAATACTACATAGAATTTCGTAAAATACATTGTTGCCGCCAATAATCAAACATATATGTGCATACTCTGACAAAATAGAATTTCAATGGGCAAAGATTCATCAGTACGAAATTATAAAAGCCAAACCTCAGATTAAAATGGACAACTATCTATTTGCCTCCTTCCCTTTGACACACCAGTAGCCTACAGGAAAAATATCATCATTGGATGCAATATGAAATTCTCAGCAAAATGAAATTGTACAAAATGACATACAAATGTTGTGCCTTGCAGGTATAACATTTTTCCAGGCACAAGTCGTTAAAATGGGATACTGTACACCTAAGTAAGGTACAGATGGCAGCCCTGATCGGTATACGATTGCTGAATTGATAGGAAATCTTTTTTTTCTTCTTCTCGTCTTTCTCTGCTGATGCACATTTTCACACTAATCACTTTCTGTGATTTTCGATTCGGAAATGTGCAGCTCGCTGCCATTCAAAGTTCCAGCTGGAAGACGATAGTCTCACATGTGGCACACTGAGAATCTCATGACGATCGCCCTATATTTCTGTCAACATATAATCAAAAGCGCGACTCACTCTATGAACTATCACTTCACCATAGTGTCATTTGATTGATCTTCACGCTACGTTCTGCGACGCTCACACTCTTCACTATTTATTCGTTGTCGCTACCTCTCCCCGACAAACAACATTCTATATGCAATACACAAACCATACATAACACTCCATCACTCATCCACATTCTACTCTAAACGAAGAAGAAGAAGTGCACCTCAAAGAGTATATTCTCATTCATTTCCATTCAGACCATTTTTGTTTATTCTTCTCTCCGTGATGTCATCGCACCACTTCTTTCTTTTCTCGTGCCTAGCAACGCGTATTGGTCATCGTTACTTATTACTTATATTATACAAAAATTCTCTTTCTCTCCTTTTCATGCACATCCATTTACGAATCCATTCGACTTCTTTTTTATTTCATCGTCGCACATATATTTCAACTCTCGCCTTTCTTTTTTCTTTTTTCTTTTTCTCCCCTTCCCGCTTCTCATAATTAAATCACCGACCATCAAACTCCAACAAGAACTATCAGGTACTGTACTATTTCTTCATCGAAATTCAACTGAATAGGTCTAGGTTCACGCACCAATTTATTATTTCACACTTTACCTATCAATCATGGCATTGATTATCTGACACATATTCATCATGTTGTTATACACGTCTGGGAGAATGAAAAGATCTTATAGTATCTAGTCACTGACACCACCTTCTGGTTCTATGTGTTCACTGGATGATGTCTCATAAGATAAATTGATCTAAAACGCAAAAACTGTTCAGCTTTGCGTCGAGTAAAACTTATGGAAATCATCATGGTCTAAATCAATATTTGACAAAGAGACTTGAAAACGAAATTGGTTATCATATTCTTATTATGTTCATGCATATATCATCTGTTAAGATCATTGGAATTCGATCGCTCGATATACATTGTACATGTACGTTGTCTGGGAATATCAGTAACTATATACTGATTCATGAACACATGTCTGGAGCGTTATACTGGGAATCTTACCTTGATAGATTCGCTCTATCTATATATGTGAAATGCATAAAATACTGACTCGCGATGTATGCACATGGGAGAATGGGAAATGGGGAAAAAAATCACATATATCTATAATTGACTAATTCACATGTGTATATGTAGCATACTGCATACTGCATAATCCGTCTAGCTAGTGTAGAAATCATCAGTTCGATTCGAGTATGAAACATTTTCTCCGAATTTCAAACGTCTAAACTTCTAAATTTGGACTACCGCTCTACCCTGATCCCAGCTTTGTCTTGATTACATAACACTCATCTATGCGTCGGCGCCTAGCGCATCCATTCCACACCCACGTCTGTCTCTACATCCGCTCTATCCTACCCAACTTGCGCGCCCACCCTCTAGATTTAGAAGTTTAGAAGTTTGAAAGTCGAATTGATAAGTGTCATACTCGAAACGTCTTTTCGATTTCTACATCTATGGATATCTGATGGATCGTGCTGAACTATATATATCACATTTGAGATGTGAATGGGTTGAAAAAGACAGAGATGGACTCTAATCCTGAGTAGACCCAAATGTCTGTGCATATGTGTATGATTTTATGGTATGAATGCATCTAGACAATTAGTGTTTTGTATTGAGAACTGACTAAAGAAATGGATGATATAGTTCTTTGGAGCATGGTAGCACGTTTCCAGCGTGCTGGTGTTTTGATTAATCTATTATTCTCTGCTACGACATGGCAGACCCTATGGTGTGGTAAAATGTTTCATGGGTCCATATTGTTAGTAAATACACCTCGTGGTCAAAGTTACTTGGTTTTACTGAGAGTTGGCCAGAATCTACTATGACTAATAGTCAAGTACTGCTTGTGAAATAATTATTGTGAAAGCGAATTGCATGAATATTTTCTCTTTGAAAGGGTATTGGCATTATGTTGAACATCTTGGAAATCGTCGGGTGTTGTGGAAAACCGTAAATGAAGAAATTTCGATTTGAGATCTTGCCAGAAGATAAGTGTGATTATTCGTGAAATATTCTTAAAGTAGCATTGCGGAAGATCCTTTTCTTTATATATCGTGCTTTTAGGGGTGGGTGTGGGTGAGGGTGAGGGTGTGGGTTTATATATGCATAAGTAAAACTAAATCTGTTTCTATTCCTAAACTCACAGGGGTGTGGGTGTATGTATGCATAAGTAAAACTAAATCTGTTTCTATTCCTAAACTCACAGGGGTGTGGGTGTATGTATGCATGAGTAAAACTAAATCTATTCCTATTCCTATCTATTCATTTGTTATAAGAGTTATATAGATATCTATTTATATTCGAATGGATACTAGCCTGTCGGGGGTCGACTTATAATATAAGTCGAATTAGGCATCTCCTGAGAATATATTGCAATAAATCGGGATTCTCGTGAAAACGGACTGTTAATTGCAATAAAATCGTCCGATCTGACGAATTTTTTTCGTCTTGAAAATTACCGTCCGAAAAGACATGATTTTACTGAAAAGGATGATTCGTCACTGTACGATGTGACACTCTCCATCATAAAAATCGCACGAAACTACGGTTTTTTGCCACTTATTACTATAGAATCACAAACAACAATAGAATTTGTTCTAGATTTTTTTTTACCTTATGCTTATGATTTCGGATAAGCTCAACAAAACATGGACTTCTTAGATGTAGTATAATGACAACTCTTCCTAAAAATCATATGTCATCGTTCAGAATAAACCCATTTCGACGGCGTGAAAATAGACTCCTTGTTTGCATGATACAATAGATATAAGCTCAGCTTCCGCTACTATAGTGAAATGACAAAATAGTCTGAAAGACTGGATACTGACTTTCAACCATCAGATAATCATCGAGTGATATGGCAGATTTTCAAAAATTAGTAAGACATCGCCACTGATATTAGGGTAGCATTTTTTCGCTTTTCTACAACGATCTGTAAAAGTTTAAAAGCAATCGTAATTATGATGTCGTCTCTTTTATCGATTCCTTTATTCTTCTACAATTGCTTTGCACTGCTTAAAATACTTGGTAGCAACGAGTTTTTCTTTAGTTGTCCATGAACAACGTTTTGAACGAGCATTTTCGAAGGATTCATCTTTGTCATTAGAACATTTGCTTGATCGAGATGCAACAGCTGTTGAATCAGCAACAATATATTGATAATTACCAGTCTGCTTTCGTTCATCCTCATCAGTAAGATTCGTTATATCAATAACACTGTCGAGCATCCGTATGACACCTTCAATAATTTCATCGCCAGAATCGACGGAAGAGTCAGATTCATCATCACTTGATTGAATCGATGATGATGAGAATAATGATAATAAATGATTTTGGTGCGTATTCCAAATAAACACTGCTGATTCTGAGGCGTAAACGCTAGAATATATCTATTATTCTACCTCACACGGAGTTGAACGACAAATATATTATCTATTATACTCTTCAAACGTACTAGTTGATGAGAAGAATTCCCTAGTGGAAGAAACATATGCAGAACAAGAATAACTAGAGTATCTGAGGAAGTATGTAGAAAGGAGGAAGCAAATAGAAATATGTTTCAACTGAATATAGATTATTGAAACGAATTTGTATTATTATTTTATTAATAAAATTATTTGCTTTCTTTTGTGTAATAATAAGTACATCTCTGATCTGATAGGCTTCTATTCGAAGTGGACTTTTATTCTAGAAAGGGATTTAAAAAATAACAAAAAATATTCTGAGTCATATAGGATGAGATATTATGGCGTCAAAAGAGGCATGCTGCCAATGAGCGAGGGAGCTGCTTTTTGTTAATATGACATAAGCGTAATCAGACCTTCAATTAATGAAAATTTCAGCTTGATCGGAAATACTTTTATACAATGTGCGAGATTTCCGTTGGAACTACCCATAGTCGACTTCTCTGTATATAGCTAATAAGATGGAGTTACACTGATGGGGATACCTTTTGGCGACATACATCCGCTAAAATCCTAACCAAAGACCTGATGTGTCACAGTTAACAACGCAATAATGATATTAAGCTTATCTAATCTGTTATGATTCCTTGAATTGCAGCTATTATGACGTAAGATATACGAAATCTTGTATAAGCTCTTATACTACTATCTTCGTACGCATGACATACAGGAATAGCGTTAAACCCCCTACCGTTTACAAAAGATTCCAAACAAGATGCGAGAAAATATCTTTTCTGGAGAGAGAAAAGGAGAAGTGTAAGCTGCGTAAGTAAGAAAAAGCTAATGTTGGATTTGAATGCTTGGCTTTAGATTTCCTCTCAGTTAACCCTTATTGTACGTATTGATAATCCACGCCTATTTGATAAGTAGTTAGCTGACACTTAATAGGTAGTTAAAACTAACCTCAAATTCGAGTTCTTCGGCCTCGATTACCTTCTGGTCAAACTTTATTCGAGCTATTCACACTGTATAATAATGATATGAACAAACAAACGGAACGGACGAATATTAACGCGTTTTTCTGTGATATCAGCCCGATGCATAACCCTCCTTTCAGTAGAGAAACAAATAAAAAAAGAACATATGATATTCAATCGTCTAAAGAAATCATTGTTATACGTGCTAAACGTTTCAAATATTGATTTAATGCATCAATACGAGCAGATCTATTCGCTGCTTGGATTTCGAATTGTCCATAAGAGAACGTGACATTGTTGACATAGTTAAAACTGATATTATTCATACAAACCGGAAATATCGATGGACCAAATGCACGACACAGGCCTTGTCTGATGATTTCATTAACACTTTTTTCATAACATATCACTTCTCGGCATTGTACTGCACTGGACGAAAACGGTTCATAAGGAACGTGAATTGCAAATCGTATCATTGGTTCTAATGATTCATTATCAAAATGTTGATACCAATATTGGTCATAATCACTTTTTTTTGCGCGTCCACGTTCTAAATAACTGCCAAGTTGACACATCCAGCAAAATTCCTGATAATACACTGGTGATAGTTGTGCTACCTGATCTTCGTAACATATGCCTTTGTTTTCATAGAACCATTCCCGAAATGACGCAAATGTTGAGCGAGCGAATGTGACTGGCTGTGTGACCATGTAATGTCCATCATACATTCCTGCGCCCATTACCGCTTCCAGTGATCGACGCCATACGTCCGGTTGGTACGACCGTGATGACGGTAAGATAATTTTTCCTTGACGAAAAATCAAATCTGGTGTGACTGGCGCATGAAATGCGCAATCACTATCAATTGTGACGATGTATTCAGCATGAGAATGTCGATCGATGTTCAGATAACTGTACTGATTGAATACTCGTCCAGGTAAACAAGGGGTATGTTCGAAAGTAACAAGATAATGGTGCGTGGGTTGTTGCGGTAGGAAATATTTCAGAATTGGTTCGTCGCCAACATCGAGTACGACGATAACTGAACCGAGAAATCTCGGCCAAAATAGTTCGATGCTTTCGAAAAGGTACTTCATTTCCATGATGCCATGGCAACCACCGCGCAGGTAGAGATCGATCGACGGCGGATTTGTTCCCCAAGCAATTTCTAATATTCGATTGATAAATTCAGTGGTATTTTCTCCAAATATTGTTTTTTGTGGATAATCCCAATTGATTAATCCGGTATAAGGTTGACATTGATGAGCATCGCATGTTTTCCATATAGATGCATTCCGATTTCGACAGTTTTGGGGAATAGGATAATCTTGAGCGGATCGGGCTTCGATTTGCGGTGTTAAACGATGCGCTTTACTCGATCGAGGTAGATATTCTCGATAAATGTCATAACCTTGACGTTGCTTCATCGGCGTGATCGCTTTCATCGGATATCGATAAGATATCGTTTGATTGTACATAATCGGCTGGAAGTTTTTGTAATAATCATCGTGATCAAAACGAAGGGTTTTAATATATTTAGTTTCAATAAGTGCAGCGAAAATGATAAGAGTAATGGTAAGAATAGCAAAGCAAATTTTTGAGGTTGATGTGGTCGTTTGCGAATACAGCCAGCCGAGAAAGAGAACGGAAATTGCACCTACGGAGGCAATACTATCCAGAGTTGATTTGACAAGTATCTCGCTAAGAACAATCACCGAAAATTTATTAACATTGTTCGCCACCATCATCGACGTCGCAGATATTAATTTGTTCAACGCAAATGCTGAGATACTTAAGGAAAACCCCAGAAGACTGGAGATTAATATTAGACTAATCGATAATATCATCTGAGAATGTTGAAGGTCAAAATTTACCATCAACCTTCCTAATTCTCCTGTTATACAAACTATTAGCCCAAGTACAGGTAGTGATAGTAAATTATTATAATAAGACATTCCGATCGATCCAATATTTTCAAAATAAGTCAAGTGAATGATCTTCTTAATATATATTTGATAAACACTCGTACTGATTATGTTCACACCTAACCAAACATAACCTTGAACATTGAAAGTGAAATCATGCTTTGCAAAGAGTCCAGCACCGCCTAGCATTCCGAGTAGAATGAAAATTGAAAGGCGATTGGTTTTGTGATTTAGAAATATGTACTCCAAAAATGCGACAAATAGACTTGTTAAATTCCTCATGACGATCACTGTTGGGACGCTGACATAGATCAATGCACTCAAACTTGAGATTAACATGAGAACAAACAAGAAAACCAATGGCATCCATAGTTGTAACACCGTTCGATTCAATGCTGGTAGAGCTCCAAATGTTGAACGAAAATATCGCGAACAAAAGACCAGCATAACTACTGCAAAGGTATTCTGTATAATCAAAAGAAGATTTGCATATGGAAAAAGAGTCACGGTAATTTTGTTTAATAATGTTAAAAACGTTCCCGAAACACAGTATATGATTAAGACAACAACCGTGTTGGAATTCTGTTGAGAAATATCATCGAAGCAGACTAAATTTGTACACATAATGGAAGTGTTCCTTCCGTTTGAAACGCCTAATGAGACAAAAGAAAAGAAAAGTGTCTATAGATTTATAAGAAGCCACCTTCCCAGAGCAAAAATCGCAACTTTTATAAAACAGTATCTAGTCTTAGATTTACCCATAGCTAAGAAACCCTCCATGAAAAAATCGAATATTGTCAAAACATGTGGGTCAACTCATTTTGAATCTGCCCTCATGAAAATTTAGGCATTGTTTACCGTATAAAAATCCAAAATATTGCCGCGCAAGATCTCCTTTTACCCTTTCGATCTTTATGTTATTTCGTAGATGCCACGAAGAGTGCAAGAAAAATATTTTTCCGTTCTTTGATCTCCAAAGAAGACGAATATCATATAATGTTAAACTAAGTTATAACACGCGAGATTCTTATTCCTTATGTGTTAATCATCAGAGTATATCTAAACACAGCTGATTGAACACGCGCAAGAGAGAGATTTTTCGTGTTTATACAGAACGCAAGAAAATGTCAGGATTGAAAGGGTCAAGAGAATTAGGCTATATCGAACAATTTCACCGAGAAAAATTATCTGAAAATGACAAAAATCGAGTTTCTTTGTATTTCGATTGCTTTTCATATATTCTCTCTTCCGTTCAAATTGAGCCATGTAGAAATCGATAAAGCGTGACTTACTCTACAAAATGTTATAGTTTCAATCGTTTCATGTAGTTTTTAGATGCCATCCAGGATGACAAAACACTCAGTTTGCGTAGGAAACCTTACGAGGGAACCGCCCAAGGTGATTAACGGGTTTAGATCTCATCTGTTGGTAGTAGATAGTCTTCGATGAGGTATGAAAAACCTCAAGAGGATTCGCGCCCACGGACCTTTTATCTAGAGTTATAGATGTTTTACTGAAATTTTTGTATATATTTAGGTATTTACCGGCGGATCAAATATCAGTTTTTAGAACTGAAACTTTGGTTAAAGATAGGTCTATAGATAGGGACAATGTCCTGAAGATTTCAGCTCTAAAGAAGATTTCCTTCCCAAGATACTAAGACTTCAAAAAATCACCCGTATCTTAGGAAAGATGCTAGAGCTGTTCCTTATTTCAGGTCTTATTGTCTTCGGAAGGAAGCCTTCTTTAGAGCTGAAATCTTCAGGGCATTGTCCCTATCTATAGACCTATCTGTAACCAAAGTTTCAGTTCTAAAGACTGATATTTGATCCGTCGGTAGATACCTAAATATATGCAAAAATTCCAGTAAAACATCTATAACTCTAGATAAAAGGTCCGTGGGCGCGAATCCTCTTGAGGTTTTTCATACCTCATCGAAGACTATCTACTACCAACAGATGAGATCTAAACCCATTAATCACCTCGGGTGGTTCCCTCGTTAGCAATTTTTTAGTGACACTTGAAAAGCGTATTCATTATACTTCAAAACTTAGTACATACAAATGCAATTATATCGTAAGGCGTTGAACTATGCGTCGAATAATGTATTGAGTGTTCATGTCAAGTAGTCAGGCGTGGAATAGACCCCCGATAAATACTATACCATCAAAATCAAGATGGCATCGATATCGGATCCACCGGTGGTATTTAGTCACATTTTAGCAAGCTCTATCGCAAAGATATCTTTATCGATAGGCAGGTGTACAGTTCCTTTCGATTACTACCGTTCTTGGTGTACTCCAAGAGGGAACTGACTATAGGCATGCACCAATCCCGATTCTAGAATCGGAATCGAATGGGATTGACTGGATGTGATTTGAAAGTAACGTGACATAGTTAAGAACTATGTGAGATTTAACAGGAAAATAATTCTAAATGCTTCTTGTTGCTGGAAATTTGTCTGCCATTAACGAAGACTGTCCGAAACTAGTATTAGTCTGAGTTAAAATTAGTAATCTATTTCAGTCTATCTCGGATCAATTCCAGCCAATCCCAACCAATCCCATTCGATTCTAGAATCGGAATCGAGTCGAATCGGGATTGCTGCATGCCTAATTGACTATTAAAATCGACCAGTGTGTCCGGCCGCCCATATTCACGATAACTTTCGATAGAAGAATTAGATTGACATGAAATTTCCTACACTCAACCACTTCGTCAGTACCCTCAACTGTTTCGGAAATGAGCACAATCATGTGTACCGTTGCTATGTTTGAACAAAATTTTCTTTGATTTATATATAGAAAGTTGAGCACATGCGCTTGCTTGTCTGTTCGTTTCACATTTATTTCCTCTATCAGTTATGACATGCAAACTTTCCATGGTGAGCGCTTCTGTCCAGCAAAATATGGAGAGAATTTGGGCTTACCGATGAAGGGTAGACATAGGCGACTTGGGTGTGATCTGGGTGGAATTTTTGCCCAACCGGCTTTGTGATGAAAAACTCGCCCAAAATTTTACAGTACTTCGTAGACCTAGGAAAACATCGAATGGATATCGGCAGACCAATAAAGAGATGAATGTGATTAACCTAGGTTAACTCTTCCCAACTGGTTTTGTCATTGATAACGTCACCAAACAATCAACTATCACTGCTTCGATTTAGAAAGCGGCAGGATACAGTTGGGAACACCATAACGATGATCCATAGGAGGATTGGGGTATAGGCATGTCACAACTCAGTCTTCATCCATGAAATTAGAAATGTTTACCAGTTCTTTTTCTACGAACCGATCTGTCAGTCAGCTCTAGTTCATGTGGATCAGAACTGTTTACTCGGTTCATGAATTCAGTTCCCACAAACTATTGAGCTTGAGTTGTCACATGCCTATGTGGATGTATTTCACTCAGACCACTCATCTACTAGTTATAGATCTCTATTATAGACAGCGTTACCAACGTTTACACGAACGGCTCAGATTTAGTGAAAGGTGAAAATGAAAGGACATCACCGAGGTAAGTGTGAGCTCACGAACTTGGGTGAAAGTTACCCAAATAATCTCAGTATTTACTCACGTTAACGAAGTCATTCCACGTGTGCTGAGTGATGTAACGCATGGAAGTATGTTCAAAAACATGTTTTTTTTTGTTGAAATCTGAGCTTCAATTGAAGATAGTCCAGGTGTGCACGGTACATTAATGAGAAGAGATTTAAGAGATCATTTTGTTGTGGTACACTGGAAAGGTGAGCGCATTGATATAATCGATAAGTCTACTGTGTCCCATTTATCTGCACCATGGCTTCTGAGTGCCTATTGACTGGGAAGAAATTTTGAATAGCGCCGTATTACATCAAAATTCACTGGAATTCAAAGATAAGCCTGTTTAGAGGAGTAATTCTTGAGTTATTGAAAAAGTATTGATATCTCTCTATGACTCCGTATGTCTTCCATTCAATGGACTACTTCCATCACACCTAACTTTCGGCTCAATTCCGAAGTTTCCGCATTTGTTAATATAATAACTTATATATTAGAGCGCTCCTTTCTTCTAGAATCACAGATAAGGGTTCGCTTCTGCGCTTTTCACGGTTATAATGAGCGACAATCAGCAACTTTCGTTAATCTATTATTTTCTAAAGTGTCACATTCAGAGTCAGCTAAAAACTGAAGTCGAAAAAGTATTTTTCAAATACTTTTGAATTCTACCTTTTCCGCTGTGTTGTTGTCCTTGGATGGCCCATCCAGGCAATTTTGGAGAACAATGGACTTCTTCCGAAGTACGCTATAGTTATCGACATGCGTCAAAATATTTTCAAATGTTATTTAAAAGGAATATTTTTAGTAACAGCCTAATACAATACTAATTGTGAGCGAATTGTGTCTGAAAAATTTCCTGGGTGATGCATCGGAGGGGGAGGGGATTCGAAGATAAATAAAAATCGAAAACCAACTGCAAAATAAATTTTCTCGCTCGACTTCAGATGCTGAACCACAATATGACACTTTCTAAGCTAAAATGCAGATAACGCTATTTCCATAGTCGTCTCAAAAGTCCCAGCTCCGATAGAAGTTATCCTTTAAGCCTGAACATTTTGATATTCTAAATGGTATTTCAGAACAGTATGAAAAGATTGAAACTATAACGTTTTGTAGAGCAGCTCTGGCTCTACCGATTACTTTATGGGTCAATCGAGACAGTCAAAGGAATTGAGAATAAATCTATAAATATAAGTGTGACATGATATTGATTTTTCACCGAAATCGATGTTATTTGTCAATCTTCAAGTTCGCATATTATTGTGGTTCAATCGACTCTGGCTGGCTAAGCTCATTTTTCAACGACTTCCCTGCCGCCGGAATTTCAAACGAGGTTTCTAGTCATTTCCTGTAAACCATGAGCTGGAAACGACAAGGAAGTGGCCGGATAGTTTTGGCAATCAGCTTCTCGGTATAGCATTCGGACAAAAAAATGATGAATCCGGCAACTTTGGAAAATACAAAGATAAAAAGTAGTTGAGTTTTTTGTGCCAATTTCGCTCCAAACAGAAAATGTCATGTAGACAGTTTTGTAGAGTGAGCCACGCTTTATCGGTTGCTATATGGCTCAGTTTGAACGGAAGAGAGAATATATGAAAAGCAATCAAAATACAAAGAAACTCGATTTTTGTCATTGTCAGATAATTTTTCTCGGTGAAATCATTCGATATAGCCTAATTCTCTTGACATTTTCAATCCTAATATTTTCTTACGTTCTATATAAACACGAAAAATCTCTCGCGTGCGCGTGTTCAATCAGCCGTGTTAAAGATGAGGGTTTTTTCGAAATTCACAAGTATTTCATCGGTCGATGTGACAAAATTTCTTTCGCGATTTTAAATGTTTGAACACTCGGACAAGTTTGAAAACGAAGCTAAAATGCAGCACTGCAGCCTAATAGAGTGAAAACTTTTGTTTTCATTTAGTTGTTCGTAAGAAAATCAAGTTTCGCAAAAAACGGTTTTGTTGGGCTGTAGGAACAGGTATTTCATATATTTTCACGCTATTCCGAGTTCTATGACATCAATATTGTGAGAAAATCGTTGATATACGAAGGCTGGTATTTTTATCCTTGGTACTAAGAGAAACTGCCCCAAAGCTTAGTATTTCTGACTGAGTTTGCCACTGAAAGCTGCTCAAAGTCAGGTACATGTTCGATCAAGATTTCACTAAGAATGAGCGTTCTGAAAGAAAAACAAGTTTTGATTCCGGGAGCGGGGGAGCGAGTGGGCTTAGGCGAATCATACATCCGTTTCTTTTTCTAGCGAGTGGATTGCTGCTGATTGTTAGGGTTTGTGGTGTATCACAAAACGCTATACTAGAGATTAAGATGGTCCATGTAGTCTAACTGGCGTATGACATCTGGCCGGATAGCAGAATGTGTGGGTCCGAGTCCCGCGAAGGTCACTTTTTCTCGATTCTTCTCTCTTTCGTTCTCGTTCGCTGATGTTCCTCTCATTGCTCTAAGATGAATTTAACACTAATGAAGTGTACGTTTTATGCGTTCAAATACCACTTGCTACTATGAAAATAAATCATAACTATCGATAGAATAGAGAAAAAAGTTCTCATCGCTCTCCGTTATTCATTTTGATTGCACCTTCAGACATTTATTGAACATGGCTAGTGGAGCTTCCTCGTGTTCGGAATGGAAGACGAGCATTGTAAATGAATGGAGGGCTCGTCGTTTAGCTGAAACGAAAGATACATCGGTTTTATTTCCATTAGCAATGAACCCGTTTGGTGAAGACGAAATTTTAGCTATGACAGAGGTTTTGCTAACAGGTCGATTAACATTAGGCAAACAAGTTGAGCATGCTGAAAAGAAATTTGCGGAAATTGTTGGTGTACCTTATGCTGTGATGGTCAATTCAGGAAGTTCTGCAAATTTATTAGCTGTGTCAGCAATAGCGAATAAATTGCGAGCAAAACATTGTAAAGTAGGTGATCATGTTCTCGTACCAGCTGTTTCTTGGTCGACAAGTGTGTTTCCATTAATTCAACATGGTCTTCGTCCAATTTTCGTCGATGTTGATCCACGTACGTTCAATATTTCAATTCACGAACTCGAACGCAAATTAACCAATCATGTGAAAGCAATCATGGCTGTGCATGTGCTCGGAAACTCGGTTAACATGAAGTTATTAATGGAATTTGTTCAACGACATAATCTGCTTCTAATTGAAGACACATGTGAATCGTTGGGAAGTTATTGTTTAATCGATGAAAATAGTCAACGGAAAATGTTAGGAACATTTGGAGATTTTGGAACATTTTCATTCTATTTTTCACATCATATTACTAGTGGTGAAGGTGGAATGATTACATGTCATACAGAGGATGATTACAACTTCCTCCGTTGTTTGCGCGCTCATGGTTGGACAAGACATTTGACAAATCGTCAGCAGATTGAAGATCTATATCCTGATATTGATTGCCGATTTTTATTTGTTAATATGGGTTACAATCTTCGACCGTTAGAAGTTCAAGGCGCCATGTTGAGTGTTCAATTAGATAAACTCGATGAATTCAATCGACATCGTCGTGAGAACTTTCGCCTGATTAGAGAAAGTCTTTCACATGATGAAAGATTTTCATCGTTAATGTCATTGATGGAAGCTTCGGAAGGGATTGATCCTGCTTGGTTCGGCTTAGCCTTTCTTCTGCATCGTCCGTATACGCATCAACGATGTGAGTTTTTGAAGTATCTCGAAAAGAACGGCATCGAAAATCGTCCGATTATCAGTGGAAATT